CCAGCCGCAGCGGGTGTCCCGTCAGGACGCCAAGGAGGAACGCGAAGATGGCTGCGTCAACCTGTGGATCACGGGGATCCAGCAGGCCAGAGGCTCGGGACGCCACCTGCGCTCCTCCGCTCGGAGTGGCGGAAGAAGGGAGAGAGGAAGAGGAGGAAGATGGCTGAGCGCCGTGGTCGTCGCCATCGCCCTCGTCGTCGTCATCGTCGTCGTGGTCCCCCGCGTCGTGGCGGACGCCAGTGCGGCGCGGGCCGCGTTGAGCGCGGGAGCGAGTGCGGGGACCCGAAGCACCGTGGGTGCTTGGGCTCGGCGATGAGGCAGCTGCTGGAGCCTGCCCGTCTCCTTGGTGGTCAGCACCACCCTCGGCGATGATGCCAGCGTCGATGCCAGCGGCGATGAGCTTGGCCTCGACGGTGATGAAGAAGAGGTTGGCATCCTGCTCAGCGCCAGCGAAGACCTTGATGCCGTCTGCGCTAATTGGACTGGGTCTCATAATCTGTTGTAAGTTCATGGTGATGGTGCTGTTGTTGGAGACTTGTGTGTGTGTGTGTGTGTGTGTGTGTGCAGAGTGTGCTGTGTGTTGTGTGGGAGATTGTCTTGGCAAGGGGAAGTTGTGTGTGTTTACTTGAGTTGTGAAGCAAACAAGGATGTAGGATGAATGAACATGAACTGAGAGACACTCTCACACATAGACAGAAAACTGGAGGAGAGAGAGAAGTGCCACGTGGCAAAACAACCAGAAACGCCCGTTTCTGGGCGCACGTGCACAGAAACGTTTACAGCAGAATTTGCTGACTCAGCAAGCATTGACACTGGAACAGTGATGTCAACAGTGACCTTGCGCATTGGGACTCACCACAAAGGAGGGTTGCTACGTAGCGTGACAACAAACAAGCCAAGAGCAAAGGATACTGCTAAGAGCAATGCAACACTGCGGAGCCCTGACATCGACTGGAGGACGTCGACGGTGGTCCTCAAGACAGGACCGCTGCGCCCGAACCTGTGCCGTGTGAAAAGAGTAGTAAAGAAGTCGGACAGGAAAAGCACTGTCGACAGAGTCGACAAGTGCTTACACAAGGCAATCCTCAACGACAGCCACGTCGTTCTCGAAGAGGAGGGAGAGTGCAGTGATGTCATTCACTACGTCACATCCTAAACGCGAACAACTCTTCCTTGTTCATTTCGTTCGGGACGCCCTATGTTCATTATGTCCCCCTTGTTCAGATCAAGTCACTTGTTCACTGTTGGTCCTTGTTCACCGCACGCTCGCTGTTCCTACTGTTGACAGGCAAGTCCTGCCTGCTGAGTCATCATTGACCTCCCTTCTTCACGACACCACAAATTTGCATTCACCTCTCTTGTGTTCTGGAATGTTCACGTGATTTCCCTCCAACCTGTTGCACGTGCAGTGTTTAGCTTGTGTGGTTGCTCGATGTTACATGCTCTTGCATAACACACCACATAACCACACAACTCTCAACAAACACT